TTCTTCACTAAATTCATTCTTAAATATCGAAACCAAGATAAATCACTCCAATTAAAAGGATACGAAGATTTTCTAGAGATTTATTTCAAAACTTCAGATTTTTATTTTGTTCAAAAAAAAAGAAATTTATTATATACTTTGATAAATCCATCTAAGAAATCTACAAAGCACAAAATTGAATAATGATCACATACATGTCGCAGAAGAAATTAAAATTTAGGAAAATTTAAAATTTTTCTAGGAGAAATTAAAATTTTAATTTTTCCGATGGGAGAATTTTAAATTTTCCTGAATATATAACGTGCGATACAAAAGTAATGGTACAAAATATGAACCCCTATTTCTCTTCGATAGACAGATGCTGAAAGAAAACTTATTTTTACTAAAAGATACAGTTTTTTCTCCTCTTTCGAATCGTATATAATTTATTTTTATAATATGTTTGTAAACGGAATGACACAATAAAAAAAGAGAGCCACCATCAAAACATGGCCGCACTTTTTCTGTAAAAGAACGTACAAAATGTCGACCATTATATCTGTTCTATAAATATGAAAATTTTGTCATCAGTTGATAGGAAATTTTCTCCTCTTTCGAACGGTGTATGATTTATATTTGTCACACATTTGTAAATGGAATAAGAGACATAAGAAAGCAAAATGCTTGCACAAAAAATTTGCAATTTTTGTATGAATCAGTCAAAAACGTCTTGTGGATGGTAGTTAAATATAATTAACTATTGTTGTCAAGCTGCTTTGGGTGTCAGAGAAGAAAAGTCCACACCCTCACCCACACCCTTTTATTGGACTTTTATTACTTGCTGGTTTACTAGGAAAATCGAAGACAGATCTAAAATGTTTATGGAGAAGAAGTCCATTAGAAACTCCAATATTCAAAGCTACTATGTCAAGAAGTCGTTTTCAAAATATTATTTCTTGTTTACGATTCGATGATAAAACAACAAGAGAAGAAAGAAAAAGAACCGATAAATTTGCAGCTATTCGTGAAATCTGGTCATTTTTCCAAGATAATTTGCAAACGTGTTATACACCAGGACCTAATGTTACCATCGATGAACGGCTATTGAGCTTTCGAGGAAAATGTCCTTTTCGTCAATTTATGCCAAAAAAACCTGGTAGATATGGATTAAAACTTTGGTTATGTGTTGATGTAGATTCACATTAAGTATTCAATGCGTCTCCTTACATTGGACGACAACCAACTGAGCAAAGACAGACTCAGATAGGTGCCAAAGTAGCTTTGGAATTGCTCAAACCACTTTATGGTTCAAGCAGAAATGTTACAATTGATAATTTCTTTACAAGTGTTCTATTAGCCAAAGAACTTCAAACAAAAAATCTGACTCTTATAGGAACACTGCGAAAAAATAAACCAGAAATACCTATCGAATTCCAGTCAAATAAAAATCGCGAAGTTGGTTCCTCGCTTTTTGGTTTTCAAGATGATTTAACTTTAATTTCGTTTGTACCCAAACAGAATAAAGCTGTTTTATTACTTTCCTCGAAACATCACGATAGTTAGGTGGACAATAAAACTGGAAAACCAATTGTTATTTTAGATTATAATAAAACAAAGGGAGCTGTTGACATTGTTGATCAAATGTGTCATAAATATACGGTAAAAAGAGATTTTTTTTTATATTTCTGCATTTTATTTTTTTGCAGGTGAAAAGAGGTACAAAGCGGTGGCCACTTTGTATCTTTTATGGGATGATAGACACTGCTGCTATAAATGCACTGATCGTCTAGAAGGCAAAAAATCCTCAATGAAATCAAAATAAAAAATACCAACGTCGATTATTCCTGGAAGAATTAGGACTAGCTTTAGTATCGTATCTGTTAGATCTTCGCTCAAAAAACTCAAAATTTTTGAATACAGATATTCGAAATGCATTGGTTATTGTCGGTCATCCTGTGACGAAAAACAATCTATCAGAGCCAAATGGAAATTCTACTCAGTCAAAACGAAAGCGGGTTCGATTTGTGAACGTTCTATGGACAAGAAAATACAAGTAACGCGACGCAAGCGTCGCTAACCCTCTACTGAAAGGATGTGATTTCCTTGAACATATGGTACTCACGACGAAGATCACAGAACTAATGTGCTGCTAGGCATCTATAAAAAGATAAATAGTTCTCGTCACCATGACCCGCTTGCTAATTGACTGGATTCGATTTAACCATCGTGGTGTGTGGGTGTGTGTGGGTGTAGGGTGTGTGTATGGGTATGGGGTGTGGGTTTGGGGTGTGTGTGTTGGCATGCGTGTATGGGTGTGGGATATGGGTATGGGGTGTGGGCGTGTGTCTTCATTTCATCCATACTCAGACACACCCCACACCCACCCACCCACCCACTCACACCCCA